TTAAGGTTCAAAAAACACATTATTTTCCACATATTGTACATTATTGTTTCTCCTCTATGCCCCGCCTTTCTGAAACGAGTCGATTTTTACAAAGCCCATCGGTCTGAAAAAACCAGGTGTGCTCTGATTGGCCAGCTATCCAGTGCATTGTGATTGGCCGAATGCCTCAAGCGTCTGACGGAAATGTTACTCCCCTTAACATACTGTGATCATGCTGTCTCCCAGCAGGACGAGACTCAGTTCAGCTGCTCTGCTTGTGCACATCCCATCATCGGTTCTCTTTTAGCAGTTCAGTCAATGTAGTGTTAGGAGTAACTGAATAACTCGGGATATTGGTTTATTTCGCGTCAGAGGGAGTGTCAGGCACGTTTATAAACCGAATAACTTAAGTAATTAGTGGATTAGTGCATACTGGAGACGCGAACTGTTTCAAACGATTCAGTTCGATTTGGTGAACTGGTTCGCCCGGTTCACTAAGAAGATCCGGTTAAATAGAACGATTCATTCGTGATCCGGACATCACTAGATTACTAGATTGCCCATTACAAACGAGGCATTTGTTGCATCCAGTGGGGACATAATTACTGATTATAATGACTAATACTGTCTTTTTACGCGTTGCGTTGCGTATTGTGCCGCGTAAACATAAAACCATGTCTGCATTTGTGATCGGAGAGACAACAAACAACAAGCCTACTCTACACTGCTCAAAACTTGCGTTTGAATCATCAGTGGCAAATTCTTTAAATATAAAAAACGTACTTACAGGCTGTGAGTCAGAAGCGCCAGACTGTCCTTGCAAAGTTGGAACTGCCCAACTGCCACAGCCATGTCACCCTGCAGCCCAAGACTGGTTGCCCACTGAAGCTAAGCAGGGTTGAGCCTGGTCAGTACCTGGATGGGAGACCTCCTGGGAAAACTAGGTTGCTGTTGGAAGAAGTGTTAGTGAGGCCAGCAGGGGGTGCTCACCCTGTGGTCTGAGTGGGTACTAACGCCCCAGTATAGTGACGGGGACACTATACTGTCAAAAAGCACCATCCTTCGGATGAGACGTTAAACCGAGGTCCTGACTCTCAGTGGTCATTAAAAATCCCATGGCACTTCTCGTAAAGAGTAGGGGTGTAACCCCGGTGTCCTGGCCAAATTGCCCCCCTGGCCTTTGTCAATCATGGCCTCCTAATAATCCCCAACCACTTGATTGGCTCTATGACTCTCTCTCCTCTCCACCTGTAGCTTGTGTGTGGTGAGTGCACTGGCGCCGCTGTCCTGCGGCTGCCGTCGCATCATCCAAGTGGATGCTGCACACTGGTGGTGGTTGAGGAGAGACCCCCCATATGATTGTAAAGCGCTTTGGGTGTACAACAATACACAATAAAGCGCTATATAAATGCATCATTCATTCATTCATTCATTCAACTTTATAGAAACAGCCTTTGTGCCACAGACGCATTAGGCTACTGGTTCAGGAAACAGTCCTCATCCATCCTCCATAAAATGCGCTGCACACATCTGAATATTTGGGTTGAAGTGTTCTGGAACAGTGTTGTAAATACAACTTAACCACTGATTTCTAGTTGTGTCCTCTTTTGGAAGACCAAACAAAGTAGTTTCGCTTTCACAACGAAACACACAGCGACTCCACAACATGGCGGCGGTAGCAACAACAATACTACAGCGAGAATAAAAGTTACGGATTCTTTCTTTGCGTGAACATTTGGGCAGCGTTATGCAAATCTTCCCACATAGTGACGTAGATATGTGGGGGCGTGTTAGAACGAGCCGTTTTAGGTAGGTGTGGCTGACTCTGAACTTTTATAAAGAATATCTCTTTGGATTTGAGACTTTAGTCTTTACAACTTTACAGATCTTCTTTATGCACCAAGAGCTTGCCTCACTCCAAAGAGAAAGGAAAAATTTAAATCGCATCATATGATCCCTTTAATGAATTAATTGATTTATGTAATTATTTAATTAAGTGTTTTCATTAGAGCTGTCAATAAAAACCAGCAGGCAAGAGTAGTGTTATCAGTCAGGAGAAGGAGGTGGTTTTAATTCTATCGTAAGCTCATTTTGTAATTGAAAGTAGCCTACTGCATGTTTTTACACATTTTTAAACTATATAGCCATCTGTGTTAAAGGGAAGTTATCTTTTGTTTAACCCACAACATCTGGCCCTGAATTCTTTATTTTTATAGTAAAATTTTGTGAGATTTCATGTCACATGATTAACTGGGCAACCAGCCGTGGTTCATGGGTTCACTTAATGGCCATGTAGCCTAAAACTGGATAACCTAGCAAATTTAGCATGATACATAAAGGAATGTAAACTACATGTAAAAACCATACTCACATTATCAGCAAAGATGCGCTCACGGTGACAGGAAGTTGCGCTTGCTAGTAGGCCTTCCTTTACAAGTAAAATAAATAAAAAAAATAACAAAATATGACGCTCGTGTTTCTCAAGTAACACTATCCACACTATATATGAAGTTTCAGAGGAAGGTTTTGTCTTATTAAAAACCTGAATGCGTCAAACCGATGCATAATTACAATAATTACAAAACAGTCACATATCACCACTTTCAGTTAAATCTGAATCAAAATTAATTTAAAATCACTCGAATTAATAAATAAATAATAAAGCTGTAGCTTCACCTCCATGTCTGCGACCATAATGCACGTTTGACCAAGGATAGTCGATGATACAATAACTGAGACTAATATAGCCTAATAAAACATACAAACAGCAGTTTGTACTATTAATGACATTATACAATATCCGTTATTGTATTGTTGTATGATTATGTTTGAAGCAATGTTTAACTCGCATACGTGAGTTTTTAATATAGCCAAGGTTGTTCTATAGAAACAAAAACATATAGGCTATATTGTTTATACTTGGTTATAGTGTAGAAAACGCTGTTCCTTTAACCTGGAAACTGGAAATGTCAAATGGAGCTGGAATATGAATTTACATTGGACAGAAATAGGGATGTAACGATTAACTGCGAGCCGGTTGAAAATCGATTCAAATATGTGACGATTCAAATCGGTTGAGATGCTAAACAGTGACAGACACAGTGATGAATATGTGTTTGCAGTACACAAGCCACGGTTAAGACAGCTGCCTCCACAGTGACCCTGTCTCTCTCTCTCTCTCTCACACGCACACACACACTTACTTAAGCTGATTCAGAAGCGCCAGATTGTCATAGCAAAGTCAGAATGACCTCCTCTCCTAGGTTCACGAAACGGTCATCCATAAAATGCATTGCTGTTCTGTTGTAAGTAATCTTAAACATTCCTAAATGCATCTACTTCCGGAAGGCCAAATAAAGTGCTTTTGCTTTCGCCTAGAAACACACAGCGTCTCCCTGACATGCTGCTTCAACACAAACTGCGGTTACTGAAACCACGCCTTCTTTCTTTGCGTCCACATTGGGGCGGCATTATGCAAATATTTCCACATAGTGAGGTAGATATGTGGGGGCGTGTTAGAACGAGCCGTTTTAGGGGGGCGTGGCAGAGTCTTAACTTTGATAAAGAATATCTCTTTGGTTTTGAGACTTTAGTCTTTGCAACTTCAGGGATCTTATCTATGCACAATCAGCTTGTAACACTCCAAAGAGAAAGGAAAACTTGAAATCGCATCATATGACCCCTTTAAAGTTCATAAGTGCAGCGCTCCTTTGTTTACAGCGGAAACCAAGGAAACGCTTTAAGCACCACCTGCTGGCAGAGAGTGAATCTGCATCTCATTCAGCTCGTTTGCTGTTTCTGTTTCATGCAGATATTTGTATGTATAGTTTCACAAAACTGAAGTCAACACATTCTGTTGACTTTTGTCCAAGCAATAATAAAAGGACACATTTAATTTATAATTTGTCTTAAATCTCATTTTGTAAAAAAAAAATAAAAATAAATCGTGAATCGAATCGAATCGTGAGTTGAGTGAATCGTTACATCCCTAGACAGAAATAATCCAAACGCAGAGAGGTGCCTTTTCCTCCTCATTTCAGAAGATCAGCGCACACCACTGACGGAAAATAAACACATCATTTTTTTACTAGAGGACAGAATCGTGTTAAGGAGCCCCATGCACTCACGCATGTCCCGATTAAAGATGAGTTGCCCACGCGTGTGGAACTGAGCTAAATTTACACAGCAAGTGATTAAAGAGCTGCTCGGGGAAGAAAAACACGGGTGGATGAACCAACACAGTCATTTGACTTCTTGTTCACGCATCTGCATGAATAATGCAACAGCATTGCATTTATTACACCAGGTCAGGGAGGGTGAGGTCTCCTGTTTTGGGGAGGTGACACTTACTGAAATCAAACTGCTCCTGTTTCTGATGCGAGCGCACGATTTACAAAAGAAAGCATTTATTTTTATAGCAATCTTGCGCAAAGAAACTCATAATAGCGTGAAGGAAGCATGCTTATGAATGGACAAGCGCACATACACACGCATTAGCTGACAACAAACCAGTGCATTTTCATGTCATTCCATGCACTTTCATTGCACTTAAAGCGCAAATCCAAAGGGTCCTTCTTGACTGTGATTTAAGCACGATGTCTATGCATTACATCTATAGATGTGAAATATTATAAAATCACATTCAGTTGGAATCCCGCTGCGTTTCTCTTTGTCCACGCGCGTTATTATGCAGCAGATCCACACAGAAGCATGTTTCTTCATTATTTCTGCCCCACTTTTGTCTTGAAAAGAATTCTGGCAGCGCATGCACGAGCCAAACTGATCCAAACAGGCATGTTTGTCTCATATGATCTTGTCCGTAAACCTCACATGTCGCATCAGGGCGACTAAACTCAAATACTTGTGTTGCAACGAGTCTTTATCAAATAGGCTGTGCGTAATCGTGATAAAAGTGAGGTGTGTGTTATTAAAGTTTCCAGGGCTCTTTCTGTTAAACAGCAGTGTCAGTGCATCAAAGACACAAGGGCATCTGAATGAATCAGTGCAGTAATGAACATTACCTTGGGTTGTGATCTCTCCCCATAGGATTCCCATCCAAACCATCAAGCCGACCAGCAGAGCATCACTTTGAACTCCCAGCATGTTAAGACACAGTCCAAAGGGGGTCCAGCCCAGAATAATCACAGATGCAGCGTTGAAGTCCACAGCAGAGCTGCTTAGTGTCAGAGACTTGGAGTTGAACTCACAGGCGGCGTGTGTGCATGAGCTCCTGTGTGTTCACAGCTGTGATGTCGGTTTGGTCTCTGTCTCCAGCTCTCTACATCTCTTCTCTGCTGAACTCCGCAGTGTGTCTTCTCCTTCACTCACCCCTCCTCTCTCTCTCTCTCTCTCTCTCTCTGGTTTGTGTGTGTAAAAGTTGCTGATGCTGTGGGGAGAATATGCTTCTACAGTTTAGAATCTGAATCCAGGGAAATAGTGAATGTTTATGTGTTACTGATAGATAGATAGATAGATAGATAGATAGAGCATAGTTTGATCTGAAATAAACACAAGCTCACCCTTTTTAACCAATCAGAAATTTTCTGACATACATGAAGAACTCATTTCTGAGAATGGTGTGACCACTTACCCCAGTCTGCATTTGACCATAAAGGCAATTTAAAACTCCCAGTGGAGAGGCTGGTGTCTACTTGCATTACCAAATGTTTTTCCCAAATCAATCCACAGTGAAGCCCCATATGATATCATGCATGACTTCACCGGTCAAGGGAATTTATAGTCTAGTAACAGCATTAGTGTTTATCCCACATTTCTCATCTCAGGCTAAAAGGCTCCTGCACTAAGAAATGAGATAGACCTTGAGTTTGAGGTGCCGTGACCAGAACAGACTATGTTTCAACAAGATATGCCTGGCTATGTGAGAAGAGCTGGACAGAAACCGCATAAAGACCTCCAGCCCGCTTTGAGATATGTGACGCTTTGATGCACTTTTATTTCTTGTCAATCCAGTGGCCTGAGAAGAAAGTCATTTCTCTGAGAGCGTCATTTTCAAATGCTTGTTAGCTGGATCAAGCTGCTTTGCGATAATCTTTGTTAATTACTTTTAATTACTGAGTAAGTGTTCCAGAAGAGAAAGAGAAAACATTCATTGGGAGAAATTCGCTTAAAGGGATAGTTCACCCAAAAATTGACATTTACTGACAATGTACTCACTCTCAGGCCGTACAAGATGCAGAGGAGTTTGTTTCTTCATCAGAACAGATTTGGAGAAATTTAGCATTACAGCACTTGCTCACCCATGGATCCTCTGTAGTGAATGTGTGCCATCAGAACGAGGGTCCAAACCACTGATAAAAACATCTCAATAATCCACAAGTAATCCACACCACTTCAGTCCATCAGTTAATGTTTTATGAAGTGACAATCCATCAAGACATTTTTAACTTCAAACTTTTGCTTCTGGCACAAGATGTTAATTGATGGACTGGAGTGGTGTGGATTACTTGTGGATTATTGTGATGTTTTTATCAGCTGTTTGGACTCTCGTTCTGACGGCACCCATTCACTGCAGAGGATCCATTGGTGATGCTAAATTTATCAAAATCTGTTCTGATGAAGAAACAAACTCCTCTACATCTTGTACGGCCTGAGAGTGAGTACATTGAAAAAAACATAAATCACTTTCAAATAGTTTCTTCTGTGCAAAAAATAAATGATCTTCAATAAGATATATTGAATTTTTTTTGTTTTTTTCTAGTATAATGAAAGTCAATAGGGTCCAGTGTTGTTTGGGAGTAATAAAAGAGGAAAGAGCTTTTTGGTTGTCTAAACAATCGACTGCCTGTTTCTAAGGCTGTAAGATCACAGCTCAATGTTGGCAATGCCACTCAGCCTTACAGACTAATGAGGCATGACACATGATTCATGTATGGCTCATTGCCCAGCACTGAAACCACTGTGTTTGCCATAGTTAAAATCAGCTTCTGAATATAAAGATGCTGTTGCATTTATCTTAAAACAGATAAAGTGAAACATATGCATCTGCTGACACTCATTCAAAGTGATGTACACGGCATTCAATGTACTTTTTTTTTTTTACTTCATGCATTCCCTGGCAACCAAACCTTGGTGTTGCTAGCGCCACACTCTTCTCTTTAAGCTAGAGAAATGAAAAAAATCCATGAAAAGAAAATCTCAAAGTGACTGACACTCTATTGACACTTTATAGAGGGATCCCATCCTTTCCTTGAGAAAATCTTAATTAGATTCCAAGGAGGTCTAAGGATCATCTGTGATTTTCCACACTGTCTCCATTTTCCTGCCATCTATCAGCCGGGCTGCTGTGATTCCACGCTGAAATGCCACCAAACGAGCAAATCCACAATATGCTTAGTTTACTTAGGAAGTGCTGAAACAGGTATTCTGCAGCTAATGCAGTGTGGAAAGGTCCTTGGGGAAGGGAAACTCATTTTTTTAGTTTTCAACACCTTTGGAGCATTTCCCAGGAACAATTAAAGTCAACGTGAAATGGCACTTGCAACCCAATTTTGCTGCTGTAAGATGACGCATTTTTAAGTGAAACACGATATTCAACGAGACAAAAAAAATGAGTAGGGCAGGACTTGATTTTATCCACCAGGAACTGATGATAAAAAAGTAGGTGATATGTACCAGCACTGCTTAGTTTAATCTACTGTTATTTGCTATTATTGCAGCAACATTAAAGAACTGCATTAATCATTGGCAAGATTTTAGAAAGGTTGCATTACCTACAATCATTGACTAAAACCTTGACAATGTAAACAGCTTTTTGGCTATTGGCTGAAACTATTTACTGTTTTCTTTAGAAAGAGCCTCTAACACTAGCATTCTCTATTCTTTTTCTATTCTTTTGACTTGTTTTATTTTTATTATAAAAGGACCCTCTAACACAAGCGTTCCCTATTCTTTTTCTATTCTATCTACTTGTTTTCTTTTTATTTATTATTTAAAAAAAACTTTCTACGTGTACTGCATTAGGCTAACTGAGACTTGTCACAGCACTTACATATTATTGCTGTGTGTTTGCTGCAATTTTATGTTATAAATTGAATATACATGCCATTTTTTTCAATATATTTTTTATATAAAGTCATATATTAGGAAGGGGTCATCACATTTGGGGGTCTGTGGCATCGGTGACATCAGCTACAAAGGAAATTCGTTTTAGAGCCAGAGCAAGTATACAAAAATTTTTTTTTTTTTTACATAAATTTGCTGATGAATCATCCTTAAGAACATTGTTGTGTTCTGAGAAAGCAAATTTCTATTTGTGACCCTGGACCACAAAACCAGTCATGAGGGTACATTTTTTAATAAATTGATACATATGATTACATTAAATAAGCTTTCCATTGATGCATGGTTTGTTAGGATAGGACAATAGTTGGCCGAGATACAACTATTTGAAAATCTGGAATCTGAGGGTGCAAAAAAATCCAAATATTGAGAAAATCGCCTTTAAAGCTGTCCAAATGAAGTCCTTAGCAATGCATATTATTAATCAAAAATTAAGTTTTGATATGTTTACAGTAGGAAATTTACAAAATATCTTCATGGAACATGATCTTTACTTAATATCCTAATGATTTTTGGCATAAAAGAAAAATCGATAATTTTGACCCATACAATGTATTTTTGGCTATTGCTAAAATATACCTGTGATACTTATGACTGATTTTGTGCTCCATGGTCACATTTACTCTATTATTATTTACTCTTACTTCTATTACAATTTTAATGTCATGTTGACTTTAAAGCACACTTGTCACGTTACCGAACAGCTGTTTGGCACCGTGCACCATGCATTCATTCATCGCATTAGACAGCCCACAAATGCTCTTAGTCACCATTAATAATAGCTAACAAATGCTCATTGGGTTCATTTGTGCTTTTTAACTTAGTGTGTGTGAGTGTTTCACAGAGGAGAACGGGGCCCACACACAGCGAGGATTCACTTGAGCCCTCCCACGCACTCTCTAAACCATCCTATACGCCGCCAGGAGCTGAGATTGTGTGAGTGGAGCTCCCATGTGGCTTCACATTTCATTTACAAGGCATTCGCCTCTATTTTTCGCATGTCATTCGGTCTCTTCTGGTGAGCACAGGTGTGCAGACACTGAAAATGATGAAGTTATATTACAGACACAGCTCATAATTCTGCCTAACGTCAATATATAATATTTGTATATATAATATTGATTTACCCATCACCCCCACACCTCGTAATATCCCAGTTTCTTTGTCCTCATGGCGTCTTCGGCCCCCCTCCTCTACTTTCTTTTCATCCGGCAGCTCGTGGTCTTTGATGGTGGCGAGGGGCTGGTGGTGGAACCCAGGGGAGTGGCGGTCAAACTCACAGCCCATGTTCTCTCTCCGCTCCGTAATTCACAGGCTGAGCGATCCGGTGCATCTGTTAATAATAGATCACACGACAGAATGAGAGTGTGCAGCACATATGGAACTGAGGGGGATCTGAGATACATAAACAACCATGGCAAATAGAAGTTAAACGACTGAAATACACATCCGGCTCACATGTTGAATCGAGTCACACACACAAAAAAAAATAGTCAAGTCACTTTTATTATATAGTGCTTTTTATAACAGATCATTTTAAAACAGCTTCACAGTAATAAACAGGATCAATGATGCATGCTTCTTCAAATATGAGAGAAATTCAGCTGTATAGCAGCTATAAAAAAAGACATTGTTTAATTAATTATTTAGTGTAAAATGCATGAATTAGGAAAGGAGTTCATAGGCACAGCTTTATCTCATGCGAATAATTGATTTGAGGGATCTTTTTGGGAGACTGGGGCAAGTTGTCACACTTTTTTACTACAGTGAATATTTCTAAGGGCTGATTTACAGTATATATAAACACAAAAAGTCTTGAATAGAAAAATAAATAAATAAAATCCACATTTATACAGATGCAGATTTGTGACAATATATGTCAGTGGAAATCTGCTATTTATTTTACACCGATTTGAAAATCATTGCACAAAATATCTGTTTATAAAATGTAATCAAAGTACACACACACACACATATATATATAGCCTAGTCAACTCTTTCCTTAATGTATGCAAGCTTCACTTATTGACTATATAACTATTAGCCTACAAAACTATAATATACCTCAATTATAGTCAACTCTTTCTTTAAAGCATGCTTTTTTCGCTTCCTAACCCAACAACACGACAAAACTTGATGCTATTCTATTTTTTGTTTGTTTTGCATAAACATGATCATAATTTGGCTCTTTATTTACACTAGGCTTATACAGTAAATGAAACCACTGCTATTGAAAATAAGCACTTAATTGCAGACCTTGCG